CCGGTTTTCATGTCCTGACCTTTGTGGTTATTGGAGTGTTGAAATGACATTTTGTAGGTGTGTCACTTGAAAAGCCCTTGGGACATAGTTAATAAGTTGAAGGAGGTCGACTGACTCATCCTTCCTTCCACAGCATCCTTATGCTCACCCCCAATGTGCTCCGGACCTGCTTCCATACAAAGACAGGTAGGCACAGAGCAGACAATGATTTGGCGATGGGGTTACATCTCCCCAGCCCCAGCTGCCAACCAGCCCGCTAGGCATTCTAAAGATTTCATGGCCCCCTGAACCTTCTAAAATGAGAGCTGAGGGCCAGCCCTGGTAGATCCTGAGATCTGGCCCAACCATGGTACAGTCTAGCTTCTTGAAGAAACTAATGTCGTCATTCTTGCTGAGGCCTGTGGGAGTCCAAAAGGCAAGCTTTCTTATGCATGCAGAGAACTTAGTCTTCCCTGGGCAGAACTCACCTCCCACCCTTCCAGTGATTATTAAGCCACTTGACTTCCTAGTGGCTTGCCTGCTTCTGCCAGATTCTACTTTCAGAAACACCCCTTTTCTTCTTGGCACTCCCAGAATTAAAGACTTTTGCTGGCTTCCCATTTCCAAGGTGAAAGCCAGCTCTCTTTAGCTCGCCATTCAAACCTTCTGTTTTCCATTCACCCTTTGGGCCCAAATGACCTCCTCAAGAGCCCCCCAAATCTCCCCTGCACTGGTGATAACGTGCTCTCTCCTCTGATACTACAAATCCTGTTCACCTCTTGACGCCCTCTGCAATCAGAAGAAGTCATGGATGGTTTTGGCATTAACATAACAGGGCATAAACTCTAACAGTGCTCAGAGTAAGATACCACACAAAACCCCTCTCTCATTCACGGTCACTGTATCACCCAGATGTCTATTAATACAATCTATAATAATTTGAGTTTGATGGATCCTTTCCAGAAGAATTTAATTCAATCTTAACTTTCTGGGGCCTCGATTTTTATGTCTTTCTGACTCACCCTTTTTCCTTTTTTACTCTTAAAAGGGTGAAGGAAACCTTTATAGTGTAACCCTAGCACCAGGGACTAGGCTTACTATCTTTTATTTAGAATTTAAATAAAAGAAATATACAAGCTCCTTGTTTACCAAAGTATGGTACACTTATTCCTGGAGTTATGCAAGATTACTTTAGATGGTGCACAAAGAAACTTGAAAGCATTACAAATATTTTTAATGTTTATTCATTTTTGAGAGACAGAGTGCAAGTGGGGGTTGGCCAGAGAGAGAGGGAGACACAGAATCCAAAGCAGGCTCTAGGCTCTGAGCTGTCAGCACAGAGCCTGATGTGGGGCTCAAACTCACAAACCATGAGATCATGACCTGAGCCAAAGTCCAACGTTTAACCGGCTGAGCCACCCAGGCGCCCCCAAAGCATTATATAATGGTTATGTGTTTATTTTGCTATATATTAGAAAAAAATCTCTAATATCAAATCTGTGATTTAATGGATAGTATTATCTGTGGCAGGAATTACCATCCAAATCTGTCTGACCTCCTTTGGCACACAACCATACCATATTTCCTAGACTTCCTTGTAGTTAGATTAATTATATCGCTAAATTCTTTCCCATGGAATGTGAGCGACCATGAGGTATGCCGCATTCAGGCTTAGCCCAAGAACTCTGTTCACTCCTCTGGGCTTGTCCTTATACCAGCTATGTACAATTGGCACCCATGACAGCATTAAAAACTATGAATTAAAGATGGTAAAGCTGCCATGTTCTAGATCAGAAGTTAGCAATCTATGGCCCATGGGCCAAATCCAGCCAGCCATCTGTTTTTTAAATAAAGTTTTATTAACACAACCATGCCCATTTGCCTACATATTATCTATGGCTGTGTTTGCCACCATGGCAGATTGAATAGTTCCCACAAAGACCATATGACCCACAAAGCTGAAAGTATTTTCTGTCTGGGCCTTTACAGGAAAACTTGGCTGACCCCCTGGTTAGATCACTGGAGGACAGCCACCTTGCTGACCTAAACAGCACTGCATTTCTTTATGTAATCATGAAATAAGCCACTGAAATTCTAGGATGGTTTGCTACCATAGTTTACCCTGCCCTCAATATATTCTTACTCAGCAGCAGCTAAACTAGGCAATCCCATGAGATTGCCTGATGGAGATGGGCTGAATGCTAGCTGTTTGTGCCTAAAGGGATGACCACTTATGTCCCTGGTGAGTGAAGGACTCCCCCCCCACCCCCCCGAACACACCCCCGGGCCAAAACTTCCCACAGGTGCTCTGCCTCAGTCAATCCTAGGACATTGTTCATGTTTCTTCTGGTGGTTGTTCTAGTAGGTGCTATCCATATGTCTGTTGAGTAATTTGATGAAGAAGTTTGGGGGGGTGATAATTTGAAGGCCTCAGAGGTGTCTTCTCTCCTAAGATCTGCCTAAATGCTTGAGAGTTAAGGCCAGTTTCTAGGATTTTACTCTTTAGACCATCTCGCTCCACAAGAGAAACCTTAGGGAGTTTCCCAAAGGAAAGCAATGATCCAGTCAATTTCCACCGGTACAAGAAGAGCTGTATTATTTACAGAGCTAATATGATGCAAGGAGATCGTAATGTTAGGCAAAATTGAGGTCTGGCATGAGGCTTTGTAAACCCCAGCCTCACATATGCAGTATCATGATGAGAAATGGGCTTCCCGGCCGCAACCAGATACGGCAAGATCTGGGAGTGGCTGCATCTGTTTGGAGAATTGGTTAATGTCACAAGCAGGCATGTAATTAAGTGGGATTGGGAGAATAATTCATCCCTACCTTTTATATTTTGCCAAGACAGCATTCTAGAATTTTTTTAGGTTAAGAACCAGGGCTGTGTTCCCAGGCTGCAAAGACCAGGTGGCCAGGTCAAGAGGCATAATGATTATGCCTTAATTGGTGTGTGGGTGTGTGTGTGTTGTGCTAACTGATTAGAAAGAGGCTTAATGTCTACTTAGAAAGATAACCCAGATTGTCCCATGTGGAGAGCGATGTCCTCTTTCTTAAGGTGGTCTTTATGACTCATGCTTCTTTCCTGAATGAAATGGAGGAACCCCAGCCCAGGTCAGTCTTCATAGAAGCAATCACTTCGGGGGACTGACTCTAACTGGTGTCACAAAGTTCTCACCCCTGTTTCCAGAGCTCCCCACACTGGCTTGCCACAGTGACTAGAGTGAGTGCAAATTAACATCCTTTTTTGAATTGGCGTCTCCAGAAACTTCATTTCGGCTATAACCTATGGCCTTGGCCAAGAACCCATGAACTTCCCTGAGTGTCAGGAGCTTTGTGGCTGCTGGTTGCCCAGTTTTCTCAGATCTCAATACTGGTCTGGCCCGGACAAGGGCAGCCTTGCCAGATGACACCAGGAAAACTGTCAGAGCAGAGAAGGCACAGCTGCCTCTTCACGGCACCAGCCCGAAGACAACTGCGCCCTACATCTGTTCCTTGTCCATTGACATCTAATGTCTCCAGTTCAGCGCAGGGGGGTTGGGTGGGGCATGTGATTTCTGGCTGGACAGTGACTTCTCAGCAGAAATTCTGAGCCAGCAGCAAATACCTCTGCTGCTAGACTACCTGTCCCAAGAATGTGTTTTCACCCATCCTTCCTGAGGCTCTGGGAGGGCTCAGCAGGGAGGCATGGGTGCTTTGAAGGGTGGACGTGGAGATGTTTCCAAGAGAGATAAGCTACCTCACCCAGAGGCGAGTCAAGCATGTGCTTAGGGCACCCACAAAGTCAGTCTGTCAATAAGGTTTTGACACCACAGCAGAGTGGTTAAGAGTATGGGCTGTAACATGAGGCAGCTTTTGTTCAACCCTCAGCTCTTCCTATATTTGATGTTCCTTGCCCATGCAGAGCCCCAGAAGACCAGAGCAGCAGTTCACGGGTTGATTTTGAGAACTAGGTGAAGTACTGCATACAGAATGCTCAGCACCTTGTTTGCCACATGGGGAGCTCTCAATAAATCTCTGTCGAATGAAAGCCTGAAAGAATACAATTTGTGGTCATACAAATTAGATGTATAACCTTCCAGAACTTTTCCTATGCAAAGATCTGTTTTTTACTGAAATGGGATATTAGTATGGAAATAGAATTCGTATACCATACAATTCACCCTTTTCAAGGTGTGTGTACAGTGTCCTTTTAGCATATTTGCATAGTTGTGTAATGACCAGCCCCTCCCCATCTAAGCCCAGAGCATTTCATCACTCCACTAAGAAGCCTCCTACCCATTCTGAGTCATTCCTCATGCCCTCCCTCCTCTGCCCCTGGCGATGTCTAATCTACTTTTTGCCTCAATGGACTTGCTTATTCTGGACATTTCCTATAAATAGATTCCTATAATACATGGCCTTTTGTGTCTATCTTCTCTCCTCAGTGTACTGCTGTCCAGTTCCGTCCACTGTTGCAGCAAAGAATCTATGCTTCCTTTCTTTTCATGGCTGGATAATATTCCATCATATGGATAGATCAGCCTTGGTTTGTCCATTAATCAGTTGATGGTCACTTGTGTTGTTCCCACTTGGGATATTACAAATAATGCTTCCATTTGTGTCTCGTTTTGTATGGATTATTTTTCCGTGAAACCTCAGAGTGGAATCGCTAGGCATATGGTGAGTCTGTGTTTGATTTCTGAGGAACTGCTCAGTTATGTCCTAAAGAGGCCAAAGGTTTTTAATGACCTGGTTTTGCCCCCTTTGCAATAGATCATGGCTGTCTGTCCTTGTCAATAAAAGGGGTGTTGCATCACTATTTTGAGTGAATGTATAGTATTCCCTTAGCCAGCTGTACCAGACCATGTTGAACGAATTCTCTTTTGTTGAACGTTTAATAATCCCATGAAAGAGGCATTGAGCGTCTAACTCGTGTCCCCAGCAGATACATGACACCTTCCCAGGTATATTCAGGGTGCTTTGTATCCCCATGTTGTGCTTTCACAACATGCAGTAATCCACTCCCCCTGCCTCCCGCCCTAACACCACGTGTCTTATCTACTCCATGGTGAGCCCCTTGAGAGGTAGCATCTCTTGAATTCATCTCTGTAGCCATATCACCTAGCATAGCACCAGGCTTTTGGTAAATGGAGAATGAATGAATAACCATGAATAAATGGAAGGAAGGATGTGTGATTAGAGCCAGTGACTAGGGAGAGAAAGAGTTCATTTGCGGCAAGAACATTCTGCCCAAAGACCTCTGCCTGGAGATGTAGTGAGTTCTCTGACCCTGGAGGTATGTGATGGGAGGATGAGTCGCTAGGAGAGAGTATTGCGAAGTTGATTTAGACATCAGAAGGAAAACCAGATGAATTTAAGGTGCTTCCAAACCTGAGAGCATAGAACTCCATAGAAAAGAAGCCCAGGCAGCTAAGAGATTTGTCCTGAATTTCCTTAGCTGAGCAGCCATGGGGCTGCCAGTTGCTCTAGAAGTTTTCAAGTTTGTTCTGAGGACCTTGGACCAAAGCTTCCCCCTCCCTAAAGGCATCCGACTGCTCATGCCTGCTTGGGAAATTCAAAGTGCACTGAGGTTAGAGTCCTCTGAGGCAGAAACCCTCATGTAACAGGCTGCTGCCCGAGTCTGTGGCTATCTGTAATCAGAGATGCAGTCCAGGCTGTTCGGACCAAAGAGGGTAAATAGGGTGGGCGTGGCTTAGAGGCCCCACCACAGGCTGAGCCACAGAGCGGTGAGGACAGAAGTGGGACAAGTGGGCGGGACCTGCCCAGCCTCTATAAGCAGCGGAGACAGCTTGAGGCCCTGGAGCTGAAGTCCTTCCACGATGTGGCTCTTCGCTCTGGTCTTGACCTCCTTCACCACTTCTACGGCTTGGGGTGAGTCCTTCTGAAATAAAATAGGGAGGCACGTTCGGAAATCCTTGTCCAGGCACCAGGTGGGGGAGATACATTATGACAAGGGCGTGCGGGGCAGGTCCGGTTCCACAGCAACCCACGCCCTCCAGACTTGGCACCCGTGAGACCCAGCAGGTCCCCGCCAACCCGAGACAAAGGGGAGCATGAACACCCCAAGACTGCAGCTGCGTGCACAAGAGGGCAACCTGCTAACCTCATGCCTCAAGGATGAGGATTTCAGAGAGCTCAGTTTATTTTCCGCTCAGATCATTCATCTGAGTATGGCTAAATCATAGAGAGTGGCTTGAATATTAAGAGTACCCCTGGCTTGCTGCAAGTTGCAGTAAGCCACTTTGCTTTTAGGAAAGACCTACTACATTGGTAGCTGTTATCGTAACCCAAAGAAATCTGAAGAGGCTTTTCACTCTTCTTTTACTGTAGGTCTTTCCTAAAAGGGAAGTGGACTAATGCAACTTGTAGAAAATGAGGTGAGGGGGGGTTACTCTTCACTTCGTGCCATTTCGACTTCAGAAAGATTTCATAGGAATGCTCTACCTATGGATGGCAGGCAGAGCGCCTAGATGAACTATGGATCCAGAATGAGTGGGTTTGAATTACTAGCTGGATGTCCTTGGACATTGTTTTCTGTGCCTCAGTTTCCCCCTCTCTAAAATGGGAATGACAGCACCTACCTCATTAGGCTGCTGTGAAGATAAAACGGGTTGTTTCTAAAAAGTGCCTGGTATGGAGAGTGCAAAGAAAGGATTCCTAAATAAAGAAGTTGTTTTAAAATGTAGTGTAGTGTAGTTGTAGAAAACTTGAGATATGTTAAGGCCAACAGACAGGAGCCCACTGTCATAGCTTGCCATTCACAGTTCCCAGGAAGAAGCAGCACGCCACCATGTCGCAGGGCAAGGTGATGCTCAGGGGGGCTGGAGGAAGCGGGAAGAGGGGGCAGTTCAGGCAGGAGCCCTCACCGTGGTGGCCAGGGGAAGGAAGAGGTGAGACAGGATAAGCAGGTTTGGATTGGGAAACTAACCAATTTCAGGGAGTTCTCAGGCACAGAGGTGGCCCGCAGTTGGCGGGTTCCTAGCCTGTAGCGAGTAGGGCAGGATGATAGCGGCGTGGCCTGGGAGATCCCGATAAGGAGGTGGTAGTGGTACAGGCTCTGCTTGTCCGAAGGGAAGTTGATTCCTTTCTCTAGAATTGGCTCACTCTGAGAGGAGCAGTGCCTCCAGTCACAAGGCCCCAGATGTCAAGCAGCAGCATACACAAAATAAGACACGTGATTAACACAAGGGTGTGGCACGGGACCCCGAATGCATCTGTGCCCATTTATAGGCAGAGAAACAGACATAAGAGAGGGAAATGTATTTGCTCAAGGTCAACTGGAAAATCATGCCCTGGAACCTGTCTGTGCCTCATGAATTGAGAGCCAGGGCTGTGACCATCAGAACTGTGAGGGTCCAGGCCTCGTCTGCATTTATCTTCATTCTGATGGGGACATGGTGGGAAACCTGGAACTAAATACAAGGGCAGAGCAAGAACCGAATTAGGAATGGATTATTCCCTTGCTGGTTACCCCCTGGCAAGGCCATCCCATTTCCACCTTTAGAAAGTCCATACTGGCTGCCTCCATTTCCTCAGCTTCCTCATCTGTAAAATGAGCCTATTGTAAAGATGAATGGGAAATAAACTGGAATGCACATCTGGCACATAGCGAGTGCTCAGTATACAAACATTACATCTGTACTTGTGTCGGACAGCGAGTGCGAACTGCCCCTATTACCATAACGGGCCTCTCTCCCCATCCACCCACTTTCTCATGCTTGGCAATCGTGCTTCTGTCCACTTCATCTCTCTGGAGGATTATCACTGGCTGACTCTCCTTTCCTGTCCTGCCCACACATTTTGAGAGAGATGTTGGCCTTTTGTCTATGTCTAGGAGGGAACAATTGGAAGGATGCCAGGCTAGAAATGGTTTCAGATGAGAAACTTACACACACAGGCTGCTTGGAGGACGGGCCGTGATCAAGGAGGGGCTGAACGGCCACTTGCACATGCACACCCACACAGTCCCATAGCAGGGAACCAGGACAGGGGTGGAAGCTTCCAGGAGACAGGTGCGGCTGGGGTGGGGAAGAACCAACCGCCTGCCCCACGAGGAATCGCACCCCCAGACTCCCCTCTGGATGACCCTGCTCAGAGCCACTGGAAGAGCCCCCTTCAAGCTGACTGGGTCGCTCTGGCGTCCGGCAGGACTGTTCACTGCCGCTCCTTTACCCACTAAATAAAGCCCTGATCGTTAGCCTGGCTCTGAGGCCCTCCCGGAACTGCACCTGACTCATTACGGGCCTGTCCCCATAGACTCCCTTCCTTCTCCCTCAGGCGGGCCTTGCATTTGCTCTCAGAGCCTCGCCTTGGCATGTTCTCTTCTCTGCTTTATACCTTTATCCCCACTCCTCTCTCTGCTGCTTGTTGGCTCCCCCACGCCCACTGCCAGTCCCAGCTCCAAGTCCCCCATGATGCCCTCAGTCAGAAGGCCTCCCTGCCTCTTCTGACTCCTGGAGGACCTTACTGGGACCTCACTCAGGACACCGACCCCCTTGCTTACCCCCGAGTGGAGTCCGGTGCGTTTATGGCTCATGCTTCCTACAAGGTTCAGAGATCCCGAGAAGAGGGAGCACCTCTTGTTCATCCTCTCGGCCACATGCAGCTCAGCGCCCAGGTCCTGTTGGGTGCCTGTTTCTAGAGTCTTCTAAGAATGGAAATCAAAAGGCTCGACACTCTCAGCAGGTCTTTTTCCTGAATTTCCTTTTTCCTTGATGCTCTTGTACCTCCAGTACCAGTCTGCTCCTCCAGCTAGCCCCGAGTCAGGAACAACAGTTCACCTGATCTCTTAGAGAGAAGAAACTGAGGCCCAGACTGTTTCGGTGACTCATTCGAGGTCTCATGCTGAGAGGGGCAAACCCATCTACAGACTTTTCACCACTGATGCATTCTCTTTCCTCTGGACGTCCATCAGGGCACCCGTCCTCTCCTCCTGTGGTGGACACCACTCAAGGCAAAGTCCTGGGAAAGTATGTCAGCTTAGAGGGATCCACGCAGCCCGTGGCCGTCTTCCTGGGAGTTCCTTTTGCCAGGCCTCCTCTTGGACCCCTGAGGTTTGCTCCACCACAGCCTGCAGAGCCATGGAACTTCGTGAAGAATACCACCTCCTACCCTCCTATGTAAGCTGGCATCTTTTCAGTGGGAATGTTTACCTCAGAGTGATACAGGACGGAGTCAAGGCAACGCCCTGAGTGCCTTTGTTCTGAAATCTCTGAGCTACTGTAGATCTTTACAACGTTTGCAGAACTCACAGCATTCTAGAGCCCTTTATTCAACAAACGTGTATTGAGCGTGATTGAGCGTGTTCTAGAATCCTAGGATCCATGAGTGAACAGAAAATTATCCCTGGGTTCCCGGAGCTTGCATTCTAGCAGAAAGAGATAGATAACAAACAAAAAGTATGCAGATTAATAAATTCTGTTATTTATTATTATGTTATGTTATTATGTTAGACTGTAATAAATATCTTGGGGAAGGAGTTAGAAGTTGAGCCAGTGAGGGAAATCAGACATAATGATTCTGTTTATTCTCTTGTCTCGAACTTTGCCAAAATTGGAGAGCAGGGTGGGTGAAGGAGGTGTTTGGGTGGGGAGTGCTTTGGGGACTTGGCTGGAATGTTCTCATCTCCAGGTGTGTCTAAATACCTAGCCAGGAGCAGAGCGTGGTTGGTGTGTCCCAGTCACCCTGACCAAGCTAGGCAAAGACTCCTACAGCTGCCTCCCCTCCATTCTGACCTCATTCATCTCAGCAGGGCATTCTAGAACTTTCCAGAGTTCTGCTCCTTCTGCGTTCCTTCTCTTTTCTTCTCATCTTTCTCCCTCCCATCTTTCCTTTTTTTTTTCTTTTTCTTTCTTTCTTTTTTTTTTTTTTTTAAATAATATATGCCTGGGTGGCTCAGTCAGGTAAGTATCCAACTTTGGCTCAGGTCATGATCTCACAGTTTATGAGTTCGAGTCCCACATCGGGCTCTGTGCAGACAGCTCAGAGCCTGGAGCCTGCTTCAGATTCTGTGTCTCCACCTCTTTCTGCCCCTCCCTTGCTCACCCTGCCTCTCTGTCTCTCTCTCTCTCAAAGTTAAATAAGCATTAAAAGTTTTAAAAATATGTATGCCATTTTTATTTCCTGATTGCAAATGTAATATGTCGTAGACTCTGGGCCTAGAGTTCTTTCTTGTCTAGCAAGAAAGCGGGATTCAGGATTAAAATGCGAGGGATGGCTAATGTCCGGGAGAAGACAAGAGCCCCGAATAAGGGTCCTTACTCCATATTTATTAAGATCAGAAGGCTTACAGACGTGATGGACATGAACAAAGGACAATGAATCTGTGAACATTAACTTGTGAGCATGAGAGAAAGGGGGTTTTAAAGATACACAGTGTTAGGGGTTTAGGTTGATATAAAACACAATCCTGGTGCCTGGCAGATGGTTGTTAAGGGCAGACAGGAGGCGCTGTGTCAGTTTATCTTAGCCAGCCTTGGGAATAAGACCGATAAGAGCCTGCTTCCTCAGGGTCATCAAGGCAAGGCATCTTTGTTTGCTAATTAGCTCCGCTCTGGGCAACTTCACCCCTGGAAGCCTATAGCCCTATTTACCTGTTTACCCAATTTGGCTCTTCCTTCCTGTGAAAGCAGCTTTCTGCTTTAGTACTAAATTGGGGGGGCGTTTTCCCCCTGAATACCTAATCTTGTTTACCTCATATACCTTTGTTCTATATTTGGGGCTTTCCCCCTACCCTCTCTATACCTATTTACCTAATATTGTTTACCCAGATTTGGGTGTGAGCATGCTCTGGCTTTCTAATTCTTTATGCCTTGTTAACCCATCAGTGCAAGCCCAGGGAATTCCTAAACTTATTCCCCCCCAGTAATACATACCTATTACAGAAAAGGGAGGAAGCACAGGTAAGTAAAGGCAAGAAAATGAAAATCACATACAATTCCTCCACCTAGAGAGAACTGCTGTTCACATTCTAGATTCTGTTTTTCTGGCCTTTCATCTGTTGTATATTTTCTCCCTTAAAAATAGAACCCATAAGATTCTGCGCTCAATTCCAGTGTGTGGGTTTCTTTGCCCCCACATCAAGAAACAATTCTCTCACACCAGCTGCGTGTCCTACGATTCAACTAACTCTTACACTGTTCTGCCTGGAGATAGTGTCACATCCCACAGGTTAAAGACTCAGCCCCACGAGGCTGCTGTCTGCTTCCAATGCCAATCACCAGTAGTCCAAGCAGTCACTTGTGCTTGTGACCTTGGCTATAAATCACAGGTTCCCGTGGCCCCCTTCTTGGGTTCTATCAACTTGCTAGAATGGTCACAGAACTCGGGAAACTGGTTTATTCACTGGATTACCAGTTTACTACAGGATTAATAAGGGGTCTAAATCAAGAGCTAAACTTAAAGATCTGTGGGGTTGAGGTCTCAAATAAAGGAGATTCTGTCTTTCTGGCGTTTGGTTTCTGGCACAGCAGCCTTGAAAGCATTCTGGGTCACCACCTTGGGAACCCAGAACCCTGAACCCTGTCCTGTGGTTTTTTGGCAAGGCTTTGTTACATAGGCAGGATTAATGAAACCAGTGGCCACTGGCCAGGATTCAACCTCCAGCCCCTCCCCTCCCCAGAGGCCAGGGGGCAGGACTGAAAGTTCCAAGCCTTTAATAAGTGGTTGGTTTACTTGGCAACCAGCCCCCATCCGAAGTGTGATCAAAAGCCACCTTATTAACACAACAAAAATATCCTTATAGTTTTCTTCACAGAGGAAATGCCAAGGGTTTTAGGGAGTCTGTTCCAGAAATATGATGGAGCCCAGATAGATATTTCTTATGATAAAACACAATAGCACCTCACACGATAACGATAGTTTAGATGCCTGCTTTGCTCATTTATAAATATATCATGAACATTATTCTCTGTCATTAAATATCATAGCCTGACATGGAGTAGCTGCATGACATGAAGTATTGAATCATAATTTATTTACCCAGGCTCTTATTTGTGGTCATTAAGTGCTGTTGAGAGTATAAATAACACTCTGATGAATATCCTGCAGCTAAATCTTTATGCACAGTAATGAATATTTTTGCATACGTTCGAAGAAGTGATATTTCTGAGTAAAAGAGCGTGTGCTTTCTGTTAAATTCCTCTCCAGAAATGTTCCAACTACACTCCTCCTATTAATATGTGAACACCTCCATTCACCAGCCCTTTGGCAATGCATGGGGTTATTAAAAAATGCCTTTGGGCTGTTGGATAGGCAAAATAATAATCATTACTATTATCATTATAACTATATAATTTTGCTCCTTATTTCTCATTAATTTGAACACTAAAAATGTTGAACACTTTTTCTCTCTTTTGACATTTGATTTTCTTCTTTGATGATTATTGAGCTCCTTGCTCCAGTGATCAGGAGAACGTTCCCTTAGGATGGAAATTAACAAGTCATCGATGAGGGCTCTGCCACTTGACAGCTACCACTTGACCTCTGTGTCAGCCAAGTGTTCTAATGCCTCGTGTACCTCATCTACTTACCAGGGGCAGTGATACCTGCCTTCTGGTACCTTGGGATACGAAAATGTTGCTTATAATGTCCTTAGAAATGTAATGCACTAAGGGGAGCCTAGGTGGCTCAGCTGGTTAAACATCCGACTTCAGCTCAGGTCATGATCACAGCTCATGAGTTAGAGCCCCGTGTCAGGATCTGTGCTGATAGCTTGGAGCCTGGAGCCTGCTTTGGATTCTGTCTCCTTCTTTGTTTGCCCTTCTCCCACTCATGCTCTGAGTCTTTCTCTCAAAAGTAAATAAACATTAAAAAATTTTTAAAAAAGAAAGAAATATAACGCACTACATGTAGAGATCTTTCTGGCTGTATGACCTTGGGTAGTTCTCAAACCTCTCTGTGCTTCGGTTTTCTCAACTGTGAAATGGGGATACTAATAGAATCTATGTTATGGGCTCATCGTGAGAGGATTAAGTGAGTTAGTACCTAAGGAGTACTTAAAACAGCACCTGGCATGCTTAGAGGGCTGTAAGTATTATCAGTTTTAATCTATGTTGGATCTTTAAGATCTGTTATTAAGGAAACCAATAGTGCTTACCTGGGTTGAATAGATTCTTAGCATTTCACGGCTACAAGATCCTTCTTTCTTTCTTTCTTTTTTTAAATGTTTATTTATTTTTGAAGGAGAGAGACAGAGCATGAGTGGAAGAGGGAGAGGGGCAGATAGATAGGGAGACACAGAATCCAAAGCAGGCTCCAGGCTCTGAGCTGTCAGCACAGAGCCCGACACGGGGCTTGAACCCAAGAACCGTGAGATCATGACCTGAGCCAAAGTCAGATGCTTAACTGACTGAGCCACCCAGGCACCCCCCCTTTTTTATTAATGTTTAATTTATTCATTTTGAGAGAGAGAGCACCAGCAGAGGAGGAACAGAGAGGGAGAGAGAGAATCCCAAGCAGGCTCCATACTACTGCCACGGAGCCCCATGTGGCGCTCCATCTTGAAAACTGTGAGATCATGGCCTGAGCAGAAATCAAGAGTTGGACGCTTAACGGACTGAGCCACCCAGGAGCCCCCTGCAAGACACTTATAGAAATCACTTCCCTCACAGAGACCTGGCAGATTCAAGCCAAAGCAGGCAAGGGATTCACCCCAGGTCTCCCAGAAAATCAGCGAGGCAGGCAGGACTGGAACACAGTTCTCCTGATATGGCCCCACAAATATTTCATCCCTGAACTATTGTAGGCCTTGGATGTCTGCCATTTGAGTGGCTCCTCAGGGCTTACGGAAGTCTACCATGAACTAGAGCATGCCTACCTGGTGGAGGACACGGTTACCTGGAGCACGGAGAGCTGGGCTGTCTCCAGGGCACAGAGGAAATGATCCTCTCCCAGGGGGTCAGCATACTGGCAGCTTCCTCCCCTTGGCCCAGGGCATCTCAAAGCCTCCAGGAAGGGGAGAGGTAACACGGTCCTGGGAGACCTTAGTGAGCCTCAGACCACCCCCCCAGACTCTCCCCACAACCTCCCTCGAGAGAGTCCCTGAACCATTCCAGTGTCTCCAGCCTGGTAAGAACAGCTTTACTTACCAGCCTAAACCTGCCAGCCCAAGGCCTGTCCTGACCCCAGAAGACACCTTGCTCTGAAGAGCTCTGAAGTGCCTCTTTCTGGTCCCCTCCCCAGGTGCTCCCAGGATGCGGTGGCAGGGCAGGTGATCTCAGAGCTCTTTACCAACAGAAAGGAAAACATTCCTCTCAAGTTTTCTGAAGACTGCCTGTACCTAAATATTTACACTCCTGCTGACTTGAGGAAGAAGAGCAAGCTGCCGGTAAGCGGAAGCTTCCAGCACTGTGGGTCTTCTGGTGGAAACGACAAGAGGGTGAAGGCAGCTGGGGTGGGGGCTTTTTCAGGGATCCTCTGCTTCCCTTACCCCCCACAGTCTCTATACCTCAGTTTCCCCTAGTGACAGACATAGGGCCTTTGGGGGAGTTTACTGTGCCTCCGTTATGCGCATTGTGATTTTGCCAAATTGCTTCTTGCTGGTAGAAGGACAAGAGTTACTCTTACAGTTAAATCAACAGCCCAGTCCTTCCTTTACAGGTAGAGAAACTGAGGCCCAGAAAGGGGGAGGTGAGATCACGTTGTGGGATTGGCAGGACGAGAGCATAGGCCTTCTGAATTTCAAACCAGGGCTCTGTGGCACAGACTAAGAAAGTGAGCCTGTGGGTGACCTTTCCTCTGCACTTAGGATGCTTCTGTCAACTTCAGGGTGGCCTGAGAGACATTAGGGGCAGAGCCTGGGGCAATCTAAGAAGCTCTTTATTTTGCCTCTGGTCAAATATCTTGGATTTTATTGTAGCTAATCTCCTTCCTTAATTGTCTTTGGCACGGACTGACGACCCGATGAGTCAGTATTTCCAGAATAAAGGAGGCCCAGAGGTGGGGCAGCTCCCAGACTCAGGCTGGGGCTTGGAGGAAGGTCTCCTGGAAAAGGAGGTGATCCGCGGGGTGGAGAGGCGTGGGGGTGGTAGCACCCAGCCGTCTCCCGGCAGCACACCTGACTCGATGCCCAGGAGTGGGGGAGGGCACCCGTGGCCTTGTGAGCAGAAGCCAGCACGGGATATGCCCGGCTCAACGAGATGGGACAGCGTTCCACTCACTCCTTCATACGTGCGTTCCTCTGTTAGGTACTCCGGGCCCGCACGGGCGTAGCTATGATTGAGGGTTAGGACAAGGGAGGGACAAAAAGCTGTCACCAGACAGCCACTTGGAAGGATCTCACCGCCTGCGCTGCTCACACACGGATTAGCTTCTTCAGCGGATCCCTACTGACCGGCCCTTGCCTCAGCCTTCACGCAGATTGGTGCGAACTCAGTCCCTCTGCCCGGAGTAGGCAGGGATGGAGGTGTAGGGGGACCGGGGGACAACCCCTGCTTGTGGACACAGGACGGCAGGGTCTGGCCTTAAGCCTTGGCTGGTTCTGCCTCTTACTAGCAGAGACCTGGCTGCTTCCTTAGCGCAGCATCAATCACATATGTGATTAATATTTGACTGAGCTTTGTCTCAGTGACTGGCGAGCAGGCAAGGCCAGGACTCCTGAAGCAGTCGTTAGAGTTGAAGGGAAGACGTCATTCCTGTCCTCACGGCCGGCCCCCTGCACCAGGGCCAGGGCCGCGCTGTGCCGCGTGGCTCAACAGCTGGACTCCAGGGCCAGACTGGGTGGCTCAAGTCCTGCTTCTGCTGCTTATTAGCTGTGCGACCTCAGGCAGGTTAAATGCCTCAGTTTTCTTGTCTGTTAATGGGACAGCATTAATTCCTGCCTCATGGAACGGTACTTGGCACATAGTTTGTGTTACAAATTCTTTTTTTTTTTTAAGTTTATTATTTACTGGGACACCTGGGCAGCTTGGTCAGTTGAGCGTCCGACTTTGGCTCAGGCCATGATCTCACGGTTCGTGAGATCGAGCCCCATGTCGGGCTCCATGCTGACAGCTCGGAGCCTGGAGCCTGCTTCGGATTCTGTGTCTCCCTCCCTCTCTGACCTCTCTCCCCATGTTCTGTCTCTCTCTGAAAAATAAACATTAAAAAAATTTTAAGTTTATTATTTATTTTAAGAAACAGAGAGAGAGACAGTGGGGGAGTGGCACAGAGAGAGAGAGGGAGAGAGCAAATCCCAAGCAGGCTCCTTGTTGCCAGTGCGGAGCCCGACGCAGGGCTCCATCTCACCAACCGCAAGAGCATGACCTGAGCCGAAGTCGGATGCTTAACTGACTGAGCCACCCAGGCGCCCCCACAAATTATTATTTTTTTATTAATAAGATTATCACAATATTATTTTTAAAGCACTCTCCCTTCCTGGCTGTGTGAGCACTTACCTGCCAGAGCCAAGCGTTATGAATTGCCGTGCCCACCCTCATTCTCAAGCCTTATCGCCCTTCTCAGATCATGTTAGTCAGATGAATGAAGACTTACTGGAGGAGGTGGCTTTTAGGCTGGGCTGTGGGAAGATGGGTGGGATCTGGGGATGCAGAGGAGGCAGAAGGAAGGTATATTTGAAAAAAATCCCCCTGGGGGCATGTATACTTCTTGAGACTCGTTCATGTGCCAGAGCAGTTTAATTCCCTGCACGCGAGGTAACTAAGATGAGGCTGAAATGCAGGGCTGCGGCAGGCAGGGCGTGCAGGGCTGCGGGAGCGGTCCAGGCATCAGGAGGACTGAGGTGTTGGATGGTGGGGAGAACACGGCACTCGCAGCCTTGGCTGTTCCCATGACGGAGTTCTCAGTGTGAAGAGCCGGTGACGCTGGAGCTGGGGACCCAGGCAGGGACAGGAGTGGGGTGGCAGCGCAGGGACTGGTGGACTTCGGGGATGGGCCTCCCCGGGTCATGGCCAAGAGGTGGGCGACCAAACCAGACACCCTCTTGAGGTCCTTATCAGCTGTGCTTCCCCTAACCAGTATGGTTGCCTCCTTCCTGTCCAGGTGATGGTGTGGATCCACGGAGGGGGTCTGCTGTTGGGCGGGTCATCAACCTATAGCGGGCTGGTCCTCTCTGCCCACGAAAATGTGGTGGTGGTGACCATTCAGTACCGCCTGGGCATCTGGGGATTCTTCAGGTAAGATGCTGGACAGTCCTCGCTGCACATTGGCCCCCAAAGCAAGGATGCAGGGGTGCGGCTCTGGCCAAGTCATCCCTCAAGGGGATCTTTGCCAGGTTCCCTAGTGAGGCATCCAAGTCCCCTCCTTCCCCAACCACCCTGGTCCACTTGCTTCTGGTATATTCTCTCTACCTGGAATGCCTGTTCTACCTGATGAACTTCTTCCATTTTTTCTTTTAATGTTTATTTATTTTTGAGTGGGGGGAGGGGCAGAAAGAGAGGGACAGAAGATCTGAAGCGGGCTCTGTGCTGACAGCAGAGCATGACGCGGGGCTCGAACCCACGAACCGCGAGACCGTGACCTGACCCGAAGTCGGACGTTCAACCGACTGAGCCACCCAGGCGCCCCTACCTGATGAACGTGTATTCATTCTACCAGGCCCAACCCAAATGTTACACCCTCTGAAATACTCGTCTTTTTTGCTTGTGCTGGCCCAGCACATTGCACACATCTGTCGAGCCAGCGTAGATCAGAGCACCGAGAGGCTTACGCACCTCACCTCATGGGCAAGGAAGGAGCCGAGTTGGGGCAGGAGCTCTGCATCCTTGTGGGTGAAGGAACGGGTGTCTGGAGCTGCAGGTTTTCCGTGCATCTGACGCCAGTGGACAAGCCTCCCCGAGAGGAATGTCAGGCCCACTCATCCCGTTTCCATTTTTGGAATTCGGCACGTGCATGCGTGAAGGCCAAGTGTCTTCCCCATTGAGCCTGCACGGGGCAGGAGCCAGTCTTCCTGCAGGACACAGTTCCCGTGAGCCTTTTCTGAATTTCCCAGCACCAGCACCTCTGCCCCCGAGATGGCTGCTGGGTGGGCTGGGGGAGGGGTGGACTTCTCTCAGGAAGGCCCCCAGGGCTGGAGGAGGGCTCCCCCGGGGGCGTCCTGTCCTGGGGTGTATCCACGACCCGTCTCTCTGCTCCCCGTTCCAGTCCAACTGCTACATTAGCCCTTCCTGCTTCTGCTGCGCCTCCTGGTCTGTCCTCCGCTCACCCTACCCTGGTCAAAGTTCCCCTCCAAACACGCCACTGTGTCCTGGCCAAGGTCACCAGTGACCCAACCGCTCTTGGGCCAGCCTTGGCACATCCACACGTGACTCTTCACATGTGATCCTCTGACCTCCGTGTGTACCTCTCTCTCCGTCTCCGCTGGCTCCCTGGGGGACCTCAGGGGCCATGTTCAAAGTTCCCTATCTCAGCCCCTGCCTCTCCTTGGAAATCCAGATGTTCAGTGCATTCACTAGCACCTTGCACCTGCTGCTGCCTCTCCTGGACGTCTGAAGGGTCCCACACTGCACGGGGACAGACTTAACCCTTGACCCACGCTACTCCTTCCCCCACACTTTCCCACTCTGCCCCGCACTGCCTGTTGGCTCCTGGCAGCCCCGCCTTCCACCTGCTCCAGCGAGAAGACTTGGCTTGGCTTTTTCTCACTCCCCACATCCAGTCGGGGTCAGCAAATCCTCTTGGTTCCACCTTCAGAATATATTCAGAATCCAACCACTTCTCACCTCCACCCTTATGGCCCCTAATCAAAGCCCTCTGTGTCTCTGGCCTAGACGATTGTAATAACCACCTACTTTTATAACCCTACTGCTTGGATGCTATGTCTGATCCACACTAGCCAGAGTGGTCATTGAAGACATAAATGGAATCTTGTCGTTGCCCTGAAATGGATTCCCACATTACTAACAATGACATCAGAGGTCTTACCAAAATCCACAGAGCCTTTTAGCTGCATGTCCGACACTCATACTTTTGTCCACTGGACCCCAGGGCCTTTGCACTGGCTGTTTTTTCAGCCTGGAATTCCCTTCTTTGGATATGTGCAAGGCTCACGTGCTCATCCATTTAGGTCTCTGCTCAAATGCTACCACCGCAAAGAGGCCTTTCGGGGTCATGTGATCTGAGATAGGACCCAGCCGCTCCACCCCACCTTTTCCCCCGCCCCATTTTATTTTTCCCGAAAACACTTTTACTCCCTGACATCATGTTCTGTATGTATCTGTTTGTGTGTGATCTGTAGTGCGAGCTCTGTATAGCCGGAGATTTTGCCTGCTTTATTCTCAGATGTGCTCCTAGCTCTTAACCACAGTGTTTTGCACAAAGTAGACACTCAGTAAATAGATGCCTGCTGCATGACTCTAGAGCCCTGCAGTGGAACAAGGCTGCAGGGACGGAGACAGGACACCACCCTGTGTCAGGGCTGTGGAAGCCCAGTCCTTTACAGGAAGGCTCACCCAGGGCCCCCGCCCCTCTGTGGCCCTGAGAGCCCTACCGTGAAGTCCATGCTCCCACCCCCACCCCGTTCTTACAGCACAGGGGACGAACACAGCCTGGGAAACTGGGGTCACTTGGACCAGGTGGCCGCACTCCGCTGGGTCCAGGAGAACATTGCCAACTTTGGAGGGGACCCAGGTTCTGTCACCATCTTTGGAGAGTCAGCAGGAGGTATAAGCGTCTCTATTCTCGTAAGTGTCCCTGGCCTTGCTGTGGCTGCCCATGCGACTCCTTGAAGCCTTTTGTCCTCTTGACAAGACCTGGATCTAGGACTGCCCCTGCTCTGCGCGGCATCGGATGGTGGAGAGCTAACGGCCCAACTCTCCTTGGCCTCCAGGAGGCTCAGAGCCCAGACTAGTGTCCCGGGGCCCTGAGAGGCTCTGGCCTCAGCCACAGCAGTGATTTCCTCCCCTTCTAACGTGGCTGAGCCCCAGCTCTCTCTCTCTCCTTCCTACTCATCATAACATTGGGACTCGCTTCACATCTCCTGGCAAGCAGGGGTGAGCATAGACTATGAATGAGGGTTGGACAGAGTCATTGTTCAGCCTGAAGCCAGGTCGGCATGTCAGGGAATGTGAGCACTAAGAGCAGGGCAGAGGTGGAGCTGGGCTGGGGAGAGTGTGTGACCAGGGAAGGGATGGCGGGTGTGGGGACGGGAAGGGGTGGGGCAGCCGTGTGGGCGCCTGGGGAACCCGGGGGCCTGGTGTGGGGAATGGGGCTGGGGAGCCACCGAGAGTAGCAGGGATGGAAACCCCATGACAAGTGCTGGGAGCCATGAAACGGCCTGCAGCCCCCTCGCTGTTGAGCAGAGGATCCGCGCCATTACTGCATTTTTAACAGACGTATAGGTTTCCTTGTGGGATTCTCAGAAGGAAATGTTTTTGTACTGTAGTAAGTGGAGAAATAGGAAAGGGACAGATAAACCCAAAGAAGGAAAAATCATCCCTAACCCCATCACCCGAGGAAGCCCACCGTGGACATTTTGACACTTTTCTAGTTTCCCCGCCCCTTGATTTGCACGCTCTCTCTCTCTCTCTCTCTCTCTATATCTCTCTCTCTCTCTCTCTCTCTGTGATTGATCTATTTATCATCTCTCTACCTAAGATTTTTCCAACAAAAGCCTTCCTTAGCATATCCTGTAACAGAACCATTTCCCTGAACATCAAGCACTCTTCCATTAATACCATTTTGTTGTAGATTCCATGGTCTAGATTTGTACAGGTTTCCACAGCAAGAACGGAAAATGGTTTATTCACTCAATTTCATGACATTGGAACCTTGGGTCATTCCCAATTATATTATAAACATTACAATCACTTTTCCTGGGATAAACCCCGAGGAATGGAAATGGGGCATCACAACCGTGTCTTTGAAGTGTGGTTGTAATCAGCGTGTGCCGCACACTTCCTCTTCTTCCCTCTCTCTGTGCTGCTGGCTCTCTCCAGCGAAGGTTCTTGGAGAAGCCGGTACCAGGGTCAGCCTGGGACCAGGCCAGGCCAGACAAGGACCTGTCGCGTACTGAGCCCCAGGGTCTTCAGGGGAATGGGTCAGGGGGGAGCTGTGGATGGGGTAGCTCTTGAAGACCCCTCCACATGAGCATAAACTCTCTTTCTGCCCCCTCTCCTGTCAGGTGTTATCTCCCCTGGCCAAGAACCTGTTCCACCGGGCCATCTCCGAGAGTGGCGTGGTCCTGGCTTCTATCCTGGTCAAGAAAGACATGAAGGATGCAGCTCAGGTGGGTCATGCTGGATTGCCGGACACCCTTTGCTCTGCTCTCCTGGGGTCTTCAGGGGACTTTCCTGCCATGGGGTCCAGAGTCACAGAAGTGGAAGGGCAAGGAGACACTGCCGCCAACCTCCCAGTTTTACCACTGAGCAAACTGGGGCGGACAGTGGAAGCAGCTTGCCAAGGTCAACGAGTGATCGGGGCAGAGCAGGGGTTCGAGCGCGTGACTCTGGACTGCCAGCATGGTGTGCTGTCCACTGAGCACTATTCCCAAAGTGTGCCTAGGTGGGGTGCCAGGCCACACCGTGGGCAGTGGACTGTCCCCACATCTTGTCTCTCTCAGGGTCTCAGTTCTGGTGAGCCCACTAGCAGCAGGTGGGCCTGGAGTGGCTCCTCCTTAAATGCCTCATGGCTGGGGTGGGTACATCACATAATTTTGGTAGAGCCAGACATCTAATGGCCTCATGAATTTTGCATGGTGGAGACAGATTTATGATTACAGAATCACACAGGTTATAAAATCTCAGCTGATAAGAGCAATAAAGCAGAAGTACCTGATATCATAATGCAATCCAAAGGAAGGATTGTCAGGAAGGGGTGAGAATCCCTTAGGGGGAGGTTATCACGAGGGGCTTTCTGAAATGAAATTTGAAACCAGGCAGCGTGGTTCTGGATTCCATGCTCTTAGGCCCCACTCTGTGCTCCCTCCCTTTAGACACCCAGCTTGGAGATCGTTACACCCATTTTAACAGAGATAGGGTAACAGACACAGGGCTTGTCTGTTGGCACAATGGGACCCCGGACCCCCACCCGCTGGTCTAGAGTATTTTCTGCTCCCCCCTGCTGTCTTTAAAAATGAAGGTTGGGGTAGAAGAGCTCTTTATTGTTGGAAGGAAGGGATGGGGCTCTTGAATTCTGCTGTTGCTTGTGATCTCTGCAGCAAATCGCTGTCTTTGCCGGGTGTAAGACCACCACCTCGGCTGTCGTGGTTCACTGCCTCCGCCAGAAGACAGAAGAGGAGCTCTTGGAGATATCGCTGAAGATGGTAGGCGCACCCGTTCTCTGGGCCCCACCAGCACCCCAGCCTGTAATCTCAGCCCCAGGCTTCAGTATTTCTGCGTTCTCTTGACCCAGAAAACTGCCTCGGGCAGTGTCAGCCTCTGGATCTGAATAAGACTTTCTTTTATTCTTTTTTTCTTTTTAAATTTGAGAGAGAGGGAGAGGGTGCAAGCTGGGGAGAGGGGCAGAGGGAGAGAGAGAGAATCTTAAGCAGGCGCCATGCTTAGTGCAGAGCCCAACTCGGGCTCGATCCCACGACCCTGGGATCATAACCTGAGCCGAAACTAGAGTCACATGCTCGCCCGACTGAACCACCCAGGTGCCCCTCTTTTTTTTTTCTTTTGTATTATGAAATATCTCAAACATTTGCAAAGTTGAAAAAAGGCATAACGAACAAATTGTATAGTAATCTCTCACCTCAATCAAAACTTCCCATTTTCCCATTCTTGTTTCCAAATGTATTTTTAAGGAATTAAGCATTACATATTCCCAGAGATAACTACTGTTGTGAATTTTGAGGATGGCATAGTAAAAACAAAGATTTTAAGGAAGGTTGTTACAATTGATCTTGCTTAATTTAGAAACTACCTCAATTATATCCCAGTGGTGGCACAATTTTCTAGCTTTTCTGAGACACTGCCTCAATTGCGATTCTAGAATAACCATACATCTACTCATCCAGCCAGCCAGCCACCATCCATCCGTGAATCTATTCATCATCTTATTCGTCTATTTATCTACCATTCTGTCCAATTCATCAATATTCTTTTATCAGTTTAATATCAACCCATCCATAACTCTCATTCATTTCAGTCATCTCTACGTTATCCAACCACCATGTCTCTTCGCCTATCATTTAACCACCCAAAATCAATCCAACATCCCTCACCTAGTTATTGTTCATTTATCTACCAATCCATTGGATTCACCCATGCTCCATGTATTGACCCACTCCATCCATCACCTACATCCATCCACCCATCTATCCATCTGTCTGTCCATCCATCCGTCCCTCCTTCCATCCATCCTAGGTGTATGGAGAGGGGTAATTGGATGGGTGATGCAGACATTAATCAGATATAGTTCTTGCTTACGAGGAACTATCCATGGAGAAACACACTCATATACTTCCTGGGTTAAAGGTGATGGAAGTATACAGAGAGGAAACATTCATCATTGTAGGGATGCTTCACAGAAGAGGGACATTTGGGGCCTGATGGATGGCTATGACACTGTGTCATCACAAGGACACCCAGAGAATACAGCATGTAGGCCCAATGGGAACTGTTCCCTCTTTGGGGAAGGGTATGAATGTGAGCTAAGGAGTATCCTGAGCCCCTCAACTCTCATCTGGACTCTCAGCCTCTAAGGATATTGCTGGACCCCTAGGGCTAGGTCTCTGGCACTGGACTCCATTTTATTTCCTGGCTTGACTCCAGTGTGGCCTTGGGGCTTGGATCTTGGTTTCTCAGGCTCAAATATGGTGATCAGTGCATTCAAAGAATAAAAACACAATCGTTCCTGATTACTGGAAACAGATTTATTTCAGCAATTCTCCATCGACTTAAGAAGACCTAGCTTATAAGGAGAGACTTGGTGATTTTAAGAAAACCCAGGGAACTTCACAGCCCGTGTTATCTTTCTTTCTGAGATGGTGTAGAGTCTATCCCCAAAACACACACACACACACACACACACACACACACACACACACACACACCCCTGACTGGTAGGACTACAACCCATAATAAAGAACTCCTTCCTGGTCACTTGCTACGCACTGGTAAGACTTGTTAACTACAGTGTAGCAAATATACAGGAAAGAGGAAAATGGGGTGGGGTCAATTTCAGTAACCTGTGTAAGTCAGGACTTTCTGATACAAGAGGAGACACCTCTCAAAGCGCCTTGAGTGGAAAAAGAAATGTGTTGTAACAAAATCTTCATAAAATTAACTGAAAACTAAACCACAGTTCAGGAATACATGGCTTCAGGCATGGCTGGATCCAGATGCACATATGATATTAAGAATATACCTGCCCTATTCTTCAGCTTTTTTATTTTTTTCTCTCTCAGGCAAGTTTGTCCCCTGGGGAGGCTAAAGACAGCAGCAGCATCTAGACTTACATTCCTATCCGTTTAGAAACTTTCACAATAGGGGCGCTTGGGTGGCTTAGTCGGTTAAGCGTCCGACTTTCACTTAGGTCATGATCTCGCGGTTCGTGGGTTCGAGCCCCGCATCGGGCTCTGTGCTGACTGCCAGCTCAGAGCCTGGAGCCTGTTTCAGAGTCTGTGACTCCCTCTCTCTCTGACCCTCCCCTGCTCACGCTGTCTCTCTCTCTCTCTCTCTCTCCTAGAAATAAATAAAACATTAAAAAAGAAAAAAAGAAAGAAACTTTCACAATAATACCAGCAAAAGTTTGGGGGGTAAAGTCTATTGGAGTAACAGGGGCCTGTGCCCATACCTGAAGTAAGCTCTATGGTCAGGAAGCTGGGGCACCCAGGTCACATATAGATGCCTGGATTCATGGAGTGCGAATGGGAAAGAAGGAGGTCCCCGAAAGTAATATTGGGGTGGTGTTGCCTGGGGGAACCGTAGGGGGAAATGGATGGAGGGCGGGGCAGGCACAAACAACAGATGTCTTCTCCAGTGCTACCCTTCCTCGTTCCACACCTACATCTGTGTCCCTGCCCAGTGGGGCCAGTGTCCTGCCCACTTCCTCTTGGCCCAGCCTGGGTGACACCGGGAGGGAGAACCTGACACCTCTGGCTCACCTCCCATGGCCTTTGTCCCGTAGAAGCTTTCTCATCCACACCCTCTGCCTTTGTCTTCACAGAAATTTTTCACTCTTGATTTATATGGAGACCCCAGAGAGGTAAGGACTTTTGGTTTCTTGATTACAGGTTCTAACTCTTGACCTCTTGAAGCTCTAGTCAAATATGAATGAATGAACCCTCCCTTCTGGGCTCTTGGTAACTCCTTGTGTTTATGTTGCTGGGGCTCAGAGAGGGGCAGTGAGCTGCCTGGATAACACAGCCAGGTGGACCAATCAGTCCAGAGCCCCCTGGCCCCAGCCTACTGCCCACTTCTTGTTTGCGTTTCCTGCTCCCAGAAATGCCCCTCAGGAGAGGGCTGGCACTAGAAATTTCCACATGGGGTGGTGGAGATAGCTGGATGAGGAGCCTTCGCTGAGGAGCCCACGTCTTTCCCAAGAGGCTGTGCAAGCTACACTGTCCGCAGGGCGGTCCGGAAGGGGCTGAGCATCTCAGTCCTGAGGATACACCACCCTCCCGCCAGCCACACCGGAAGCCCCCAGCAGCCTTCCCCGTCTCCTGCCCTCCCTCCTTCTTTCCAGCACCACTCGTTCTGGGGCATTCTCTCTGCAACATTTACAGTCCCGTGCTCTCTGCTCTCTCCTGGGCATGCTAGCACTTACCTTAAAAGGTGTTGTGTGGATTCAAGGAGGTTCATTCATTCATTCAGCAAAATAGCACTTCCTTTGTGAAAGGACCTGATTGAGGAGCTGGGGACAGAGTAATGAAACAGGCAAAGCAGATGCAATCCCCTGCCGTCTTGGAGTGAGGGAAGGGTAACACACAGTGGTCCTTGTTATGGAGAAAAAGAAAGTGAGCAATAGGGACAGTTTGCTGTGGTTTGAATCCGCATAGCAGAATCAGAGAAGGCTCAACAAGAGGGTGACATCTAGGCCAAGTTCTGGAGGCAGAGAGCAAGGCAGCTGTCAGGACAACTGGAGGCAGAGTGTCCGAGGCAGAGGGATCAGCAGCTGCAAAGGTCCTGAGGCAGGAGGCCAGTGTGGCTGGTGTGGACAGAGTTGAAGGAGAGAACTGGCTTGAAGCTAGAAAGGAAAGGGAGCTGGGGGTGGTCCCTTGAAAGGAATTGGATTTGGATTTCACGTGAGATGGGGACGTCTCAGGCACGATTTGAACAGGGGAGTGACTTGACCTTGGGTTCGACAAAAGGGCTCTTTATGCTGCATTGAAATCGAAGGTAGGGAAGGGTAGGCAGCCCCAGGGAGACCAGTTGGGAGGCCAGTGCACTGCAGTCGTCGAGGCCAGGTCATGGCAGCCTGGGCTGGGCCCGTAGCAGAGGAGGAGGTGAGACCGTAGGGTGGCATCTGGATGTTTTTCAAGTCATGGCTAGTGGGATTTGCTAGTGGAGAGGATGTGGGGCAGAAGAGAAAGCCGGGGGTGCAGCATGCCCCGGGGACTTTGGCCTGAGCCGGGCAAGGCCCAAGGCCCACACAGGGCTTCCACTTTGAAGCGACAGTGTTGTTCTTGGTCTTGCTTGTCAGTCGGCCAGTTCCACGGCCTTCCGGTGGGTGGATTAAGGCACATGGCGTGTGGGGCTGCCAGCGAGGGCTCTGAGTGGTATCTAACGTGTATCGAGCTGCGTCTGCCACCAGACGCTGTGCTGAGCATTCTGCGTGGGTTCAGTTCCAACCCATCTCGCCGATGACAAAACCGAAGCACAGACAGATGAAATAACGTTCCCAAGTTACCGGCCAGGAGGTGGCAGAGCCAGGAATTCAAGTCCAGATAGTCAGGCTCCAAAACCCACACTCTTGAGAACGACTGTGGCCACATATGCAGGATCGCCATGCCCAGAGCCAGCTGCCCGGCTGGTGGCGTGTGAGGCAGGCGCTGCTGCATATGTGCCCACGTAACTGATCGTCATCAAGGGTAACACCGAAAATGGAGACATTCTTCAGCACAATGCGAGCCCACCGCTGGTGCTCTTATTCATGCTTTTCCTCTCTAAAAAGGAATTGGGTCTCTGTTTAGGCACCTTGAGTGATGGGGAGCTCACTATCTCCTCGAAGCGAACTGTTTGTTTATCAATAGCAGTTTGTGTTTAATAAGCACAAGACAGATTAGTGCAATCGATTCCTATGAATTGTGAATTCTGTATTTGTGAATTCATCTCCTCACTAAAATAAGTGTGTGACCCCAAATCGATACTCCTGACACTTTTTGCTGTCATTCCTGGACACGGAGTGGGCCCACGGCTAGGCTCCCATTCGAGACCCAACAAAGCCGCCCAGTGTTTTCTTGTGCCATGGTTCATGCTGATATAACACATGGCCTCCTCACTGTCTACTTAGTGCCACATTTTCCCCATTTTTGTGCTTTCTGTTGATGGCTCCACTGTTGCGAATGACCCCTGAGGCGCTGTCCCTGCGGAGGACCTGCTCCTGAGGGCTTGTTCAAGGCTGTGATGCACCTTCGTGGATTAGGTCACCTTCGTTCAGGGCGGCCGACTGTGCCGTGGGCTGTGAGTTCAGCGGTAAGGGGGTAAGGGGTCAATAAGGCCCATCCAGGAACAGGAAGGGACCCCTTGCCAATCTGTCTGTGAGGCTGTCTGGGAAAGTGCTAAAAGAACATCTAGGATGTGACGAAAGCTGTGGGTAATCGGCTCTAATCGGGGTTTTATGAGGTGACCATGGGTAAGAAATCCTAACAACATGGCCCATGGGGCCGAAGGCCGAAGGCCCGGGAAGATGCTGAGGACTTCTCAGCTGGTGTTTCATTGTAAATAAATACTACACATAATTAGTTACTTGTAAGCAGTGCGTATTCCATCCAGTGTCTTTAAGCTAACGGAATACAAGAGTTGATGGAAAGGTGACCAGATGGTTGTAGGAACCTGACGTTGTATTTTCCCACCAGCAGTGGCCCCGCGCTATGGCTTTATAGAACCGAACCACCACGGATAACAGAATTGACCCACATAGGCAAATGTACACTGCAAATTGAGATATAGGAATATGTACATACACACATATATGAGTATATTTATATAAAATGTATATGTTTGTAGATTTTTTAAAAATGTTTTTATTTATTTCTGAGAGAGAGAGAGAGAGAGAGACAGACAGCATGAGCAGGGGAGGGTCAGAGAGAGAGGGAGACACAGAATCGGAAGCAGGCTCCAGGCTCTGAGCTGTCAACACAGAGCCCGACGCGGGGCTCGAACCCACGAACTGTGAGATCATGATCTGAGCCGAAGTCGGACACTTTACTGACTGAGCCACCCAGGCGCCCCTATAGGTTTTAATATTAAAATATATATGCATGTTTATATATTTATACACTGATATATTTATATTTAATAAATTTAATGTGTATTTATAGGCATATGAATATATGGAAATATGTAGAGATATGTATACATATATTCCAGTTTGGGTGAGTTTTGCCCCACTCAGACTTACCCTGATAGTTACGGGTCCACCTTCCACCCTCTGGGGTCACATGCACTCGGCCCCCTTTGTTAGGAGCCTGAGTTCTGTGGCCGCTGCCCGTGGCCATGCAGGTGTGCAGTGCTGGCTTCCGGCTCTGACGGGCGGACAGGGGGACGTGGGTGTGGCCTCGAGAGCGGAAGCCCAGACCCCACGATGCCCTCCTCCCTAGAGCCATCCCTTCCTGCCCGCCGTGGTGGACGGAGTACTGCTACCAAAGATGCCCGAAGAGATTCTGGCTGAGAAGCAATTCAACTTTGTTCCCTTTATCATCGGAATCAACAAGAATGAGTTTGGCTGGATTCTTCCAATGGTGAGAATGTGGGGTCCCTTTAGGCTCCCCTCCCCCACCCCTCCCATCTCTGCTCACGGAGGCTCCTCCTTCTCGAGGCCCCCCCTCCCTCTGAATCCAGGGCAGCTGTCCTGTCAGATTTCCATGGGGGGCATGGACATTTCTGTCGGGGAGCTTCACCAGCATGGCCCCACTGCCACCTGGGGACCCCTGTTCCCAAACACTCTGACTGTCTTCCAATCTAAGAATCCTACAGTGTGGGCTCCAGGAGCGTCTGCAGGGAAAACCACTGGGCAGATGGGCAGACCGAGGCTGGGAGAGGACGGGCTCGGAGCTAAGCGGGGTGGCCTGAGCCCCTGCGGTCCCTCCCCGTGGCCTGGTGCTTCCCCTGCTCCTCCATAAATCCCACACCTGCTCTTTCCTGGTCATCTAATGGGGGCATCTTGCTCCCTCTGGGGTGAAAGTTCTGAGTCAGAAGAGCTTTCCCTCGGTCAGAGATGCACACAGCTGACGCGAGGGGAGGCGGTGAGGACAGGTCTTATTCAGTTCTACACCTGCAGCAGGGAGGAGAGACAGCGTGAGCTGAACTCAGGTCCCTGCCACAAAAGGCTGGAGTCTAGTTAAAGGCTAGGTGTGCCAAGGGAAAGGCACTGTGGGGACTGTGACAGGTGCGCAGAGGGGGAGGGGACCTGTCCATGGGAATAGGCCACCTCGATCTGTTAAGTGCCATTTATCCAGAAATAAACTTTGATCTCTCTGCCCAGAGGCAGTGGTGTTCGGGCTGCAGCAGGGTGCCCACCAGAGTCTCAGGGACTGAGAGAGAGAAAGGAGACTTAGTGGCTGCATGTCTGCATTTCCAGAGGTGGCTCGAAGGTCCTTGAGGAAACAGTTTTGGGTGGGAGATTTACATCTCAGAAAGCAGAGGAAGAATTGTAACTGCAAGCTTCCTAAGGCAGCTGCTCTAAAAGGGGGTTCAGGACCCTATCACCTTATCACCAGGTTTTGGCCAGAACCAATGATAAATTCCCTTAGTGGCCAGGAGCCCGTTAAAGGGCACTGGGGTCATCCTAGGGATGAGATCATAAGTGCTGGCAGTCAAGCTAGAGTTTGGTCAAGTTCTGTAGTGCAGAGGTTTGGACGGAGGGCAGCAATTTCAGGGGTCACCGACACACCGAAGCCACAATGGCGGGATTTGAGTCTTCCTTGGTCATTTCAGACAGGTGGGGACATGAGTGATGTCTGTGCTCTTTGTCTCCAAGCCCTCTACTTCAGCACTAGCCAGGCTGAAACCTCACCTGTGGGTCTCCATGTCCAGTATGGGGATTCTTGCCTCTGATTGAACAGACATACACACACACACACACACACACACACACACACACACACACAGTGCCAAGGCCTGGGGCAGCTTCTCTTCATATTTACTTTATCCTTTGGCACTGTTTGAGTTTCTGGATATAATAAGCCTGTCTGTTTCATCGATATTACCCACCTCGTCAAGGATCCATGTTTGTCAAGTCATGACAGAGTGACCTTCGGCTGGTCGGTAAGTGTGGGTCTTTCTGCTAATTCTTGATGATTCACACTTGTGTCACTGTTGTTTTAACAGTTAATGGGTTACCCACTCTCTGAAGGCAAGCTGGACGAGAAGACGGCCGAGTCACTCTTATGGAAGTCCTACCCCATTGTCGTAAGACCCGGGGACCCACGGGAACTGGCTGAGACCCAAGGAGGGGCAGAGGCTTGCCCCGAATAGCTGAGCAATTCAATGGCAGGATGAAGACTGGGGCTGGAGGGTTCTGCCCACATTTTCCTGCCTTTCCCACCTCAGCACGCCGGGTAGTGGTGGCTGCATCGTGCTGGAGGGATTTACTATTAATGCGAGCCATTCTCTGTGCCCCTCACTGGGGTGGGGGCGGTGGCCACTTTTACTTCTGCTCTATTTCAGGGCATCCCTGAGGACCTGAGTCCACAGGCCATTGAGAAGTATTTAGGAGGGACAGATGACCCTGTCAAAAAGAAAGATCTATTCTTGGACATAATTGGAGATTTGGTATTTGGTGTCCCATCTGTGGCTATGGCCCGTTACCACAGAGGTGAGTCCCAGAGGCTGGACAGGAGAGGGACACTGAGCCCAGCGGCTTCGCTGTCGGCCCTCATGCAGCTTGTTTTTTTCCGGCATCCCGTGACTCGGAATTTGGGGCCTTTTTGCCAGGACTACTACAGATTTTATCAGTGCTGTTCTTTCATTTTGTATTTGTCTCAATCTCTTTTCAATAAACAAAAAGAACTTTTCTCAATATAAAATTAATATCCTACACTTGTGGAAAGTTTTGAAGATATGGAAACACATGAAGAAGGAATTAGATATTATTCTAAATTCCTCCACCTAGAAACATGTTATACATTCTTTTTTAAAAAAATTTTAACATTTATTTTTATTCTGAGACAGAGAAAGGCAGAACAGAGCAGGGGAGGGACAGAGACAGAATCTGAAGCAGATTACAGGCTTTGAGCTGTCAGCACAGAGCCCGACGCGGGGCTCCAACTCATGGACCTCAAGATCATGCCCTGAGCTGAAGTTGGACACTCAACTGACCGAGCCACCCAGGCTCCCCTGCTATACATTTTTTGATGTATTTTCTTCAAATAATCTTTCCATTTCTTACATATAATTTAGAAATTAACTTGATATCGTATGTCATATTTTTGTTCATAGAACACTATTTTGTGTTCAAAAACATCCGCTATTTCACAGAATGATGCATCAAAATTTACTTTATTGTATTCGTGTCCTATTGGATATTTAGTCTAGCTGCTTATATTGTGATGCAAGGAAAAAACATTATGCTCAGCCTTATGTGCATAAATCTTTAACCAAGTCTCTAATAATTTTCTTAGGATTGGTTATTACAAGTGAAGTTCCCGGGACCCCTGGGTGGCTCAGTTGGTTAAGCGTCTGACTTCAGCTCAGGTCATGATCTTGTGGTTCATGAGTTTGGGCTCTGTGCTGACAGCTCAGAGCCTGGAGCCTGCTTCAGGTTCTGTGTCTCCCTCTCTCTCTGTTCCTCCTCTGCTTGTGCTCTGTCTCTGTCTCTCTCAAAAATAAATAAAGATTAAAAATGTTTTTAAAAAAGTGAAGTTCCCAAGTGGGGCTGTAAGAGCATTTTAAGTTCTTGATACATGTTGTGACATTGCTTCCCAGTGTATGGCTGGGATTTCTTAATTCTCTCATTTGCAAAACTCAGATGAAAAAATAAAAACAGTGCTGTCAATTTCACAGCTCTTCCTTGAAAAAAAAGGAGAGAGAGACCATCCCATGTTTTAATGACAAACTTAGATTAACCAACTCTGTCCGTCTCTCTGCCTCTCCTATTGCCCTATTACCCTCATCTGTGCCCTACTTTCCTTTGAAAACTTGTGCTTGTAGGAATTTTATGCCTCCCCTTGGTTTTAGGCAGAAAGTTGAAAAGAGAGAGAGAAAAAAAGAATTCTCTTTTGTGCCGCATGCTGGCTGCCCCAAGAAGTTCTCTCATTCGTGAAAGAGAAAGTTCTCTCATTCTCTTCCCTCTATGGCCAAAGAGCTTCTTCCTAAAACTGCCGAGTGGCGGAGGGAAGTTACAGCCCCCTCTCTCAGCGAGTTCTGCTTGACCTTAAAGCCGCTGTTTAACACATGGATTTCAGAACCACAGAAGGGTTGCTTCTTCCAGACAACACCTCTTGCTACATCCAGGGTGTGGTGATGGAGATCAGGGAGGCATTTCAATAAATTACTCTACATCCTCATGTGGGGATGGCACATATCATTAAGTTATTTTGAGACAAATGTTTAATGATGTGGAGACATGATTATAGTGTATTACAAAATGACATACACACTATCATCCCATTTTTATATGCCTAGAAGGGATATATGCTAAAATGTTAACAGAGGTATCTTCAGGTGGTGGTAGGATTATAAGGGATCTTTTTGTTCATTTTCTCTTCCCGCACTGTCTGAGTTTGTTACGGCACCCAAAGGGGGAAAAGCTGTATAATTTCTCCTCCAGCCAGAAGGGGGCCCAACCCTTCCCGGTCGTCACTCTGCTGTGGGCGTCAGGGTTCGGGCAAAGCGCTAGGTCCATGCACCACCCTAGGCTGGTGGCCCCCAACTCAGCCCTGAAGGGGCAGGGTGGGCAGCCCTGAATGAAGCCATCCGCGGGAAAACTGACACCTTGCGGGGGCTTGGAGAGGCACTGCTGAGAGTGGGGGCCGGGAGAGCAGGAGAGAGCCACCTTTGTCCTCCGTCCGAGCCCTCCTCCTCCCTTCTGCCACCGCCCGGGCCCAGCAGGAAACAACAGATGAGGTGACAGAGCTATAGAACATGTTGAGCTTTGGGTTTCGCAAGATACAAGAGATTCTGTATGAATATCTGGGCTGTCGAGCCAGCGACTAGGATCTGGGTCACTCTCCCCTAGAAAGTAGGTGACAAGGACACTGCGAACTCTGCAAACTGGGTTGGATGAAAGGCACCTGTTAGGCTGCAGAAACTCTAAAGGAACCAAAACCAGCACGTTTTCAACGAAATATAGTAGCGTAAACTGCGTATAGAGACGTTCTTGCGTGTGAGCCCATCAGCGGGCAGCGGGGTCTGTGTATTGGCCCAAGACCCCTAAAATGATCATTGTTGTCATTGGATTTACTCACAATCTCAACATTTCATTCATTCAATCTTCATTCATTGAGTCATTCAACAAATATCTGGCCTAACGCCAGTTTTCACCTCCTCCCAATGGGCATTTTTAAGCAAATCGCAGAGCTTTTGCAAAGTTCTGTTTCTCCGTTACGCGGGTAACCAAAGATTTTCTGCAGGGCCACACGGTGGCTAGCACACAGGTGGCTCTCACAACGGGCAACTGTGAAGGCTGCCCTTGCTGTGTACATAGGGCCCAGGTGTGCCCCCAGCTCCCCGAGGGCCCAGGGCCTCCCTTGGCGCCATCCAGGTGTGCATCTGGGGAAATGAACTGTGCGTGAATCCATGTCTTCACAGATGCCGGAGCCCCCACGTACATGTATGAGTTCCAGTATCATCCGAGCTTCTCGCCGGACAAGAAACCCGAGACGGTGTTAGGGGACCATGGGGATGAGCTCTTCTCCGTCTTCGGGGCACCATTTTTAAGAGGTAATGGCCCTTTGGTGATTACAAACTTGGGGAGTTCGAAGACCCGGGTGCAAGTCTCAGTTTGGTGGCTATGGGCCCAGTTCCCCCTTCTCTCTGGACCCCGCTTACCCAGACACACCAAGGTAGGGCTGAGCTCCGAAGGCTCCCAACCCTTCTCCTGCCCTGGCACATCTGATGGAGAAGGTGCATCGATGTGCTCTAAGAATTCAGGTCTGGGTATCAATAAACCACATGGTGGACCAGCTGCAGGGTCCTGCTCAAGGGCTACAATGTCACCACCCACTTCCCACTGTGAGTGAGAGTAAGGTTAGAATTTAATGTTGACCTTGAATTGGGGCTAATGTGCATGTGTGTGTCTGTCCAACCATCTGTCTACCTAAAATTCCTAACTTTCTCAACTTAATATATTTAATAACATATATAATACTTTATTTTTTAATGTTTATTTATGTTTTAGAGAGAGAGAGGGCACAAGTAGGGGAGGGGCAGAGAGAGGGAGACACAGAATCCGAAGCAGGCTCCAGGCTCTGAGCTGTCAGCACAGAGCCCGGCATGGGGTTTGAACTCACAACCTGGGAGTTCATGACCTGAGCCGAACTTGGACGCTTAAGTGATGTAGGAGCCACCCAGGCGCCTTTGACAGAGATCTCCAATGCCTTCCCTGTGAGCAGTTACACACTTGCGTGTGACCTACCTCAGGGCTGTTTGTAACTGACACATTTACTGCTCGGGTGACTGCACATCACTGATGTTTCAGAGTCTGTGAGAACGTGGGTGCGTGAAGGAGATTGAGCAAAGGCCCAAATGGGAGCAGTCCCAAGGTGCGGCTCTGCAGTCAACACCCTGGGCGTGGCCCTGGGGACCTTGGGAGGGGAGGCGAGGCGCGGGATGCCTGGCTTAAAGTGCACAGAAACTACCCAGATCTTGAAATGCAGATTCTGACACAGTAGGTCTGGAGCAAGGGCTCAGATTCTGAATTCCTAGCAAGCTGTCCCGTGCTGCTGGCCGTAAACCACACTTTGAGTAGCAAAGGATTTTTTTCTTCTCTCCCACAGGAGGTGCCTCAGAAGAGGAAATGAGACTCAGCCAGATGATGATGAAATTTTGGGCCAACTTTGCTCGGAATGGGTGAGGCTGGTGGCAGAGATGGAGCAGGGTTGGGGCGGGCGGGTGTGCTTCCTGGGAAAGGGAGCTCCCAGCCCTGTAACCCTGACAAAGAGCAATGAGAGTTCTCTAAAAGGGGACGGGCTGCCTAGGATTTGGTGAGCTCCCCGCCTCTGGAGGTGAAGGAGCCTCCTGGAGGAAATAAAACCAAGAAGCCCTGCCAGTCTCAAAGTGCTGTTGGGTCCCCAGAGTCGCTTTGGGCGATTCTCATTTGATTTTGTTCCTAGGAACCCCAATGGGGAAGGGCTGCCCTCTTGGCCGCCATACGACCAGAAGGAAGGGTACCTGCAGATTGGAGCCAACACTCAGCCAGCCCAGAAGCTGAAAGACAAGGAAGTGGCTTTCTGGACCGAGCTCCTGGCCAAGGGGGCAGCAAAAAAGCCACCGCACACGGGACACGTTGAGCTGTGAATGGGTGGCCTGGCTGGCCTTGGAGCCCAGTCTGGGGTATTCATTCTATAGAAGGTGTTTATGAGCCAAAGAGGGATCTTATTGGACAAGGCTGGGAATCTGTCTGCCAGGGGAGGGCAGAGGCCAGGGAGGGGGAATTGTGGCCAATTTAAGGAATAAATGTTCTCATGGAGACCACGTCATTGTCTGTATCTCTGTCTCAGAGAGAGAAGGATGGAGGGGTGGGCATGATTGGAAGGTGCCTCCGGTGAGGATGGCTTGGCCCTGGGAGCTGCCAAGGATAACTGGGCCTCCGCCCCATGTCTCTGGGCCCTCAACAACATGCAACAACAGGATGTGGGGTGGCCGGAGTGCAGGGTCCCTCTTGTCCACGCGGAGCTGGAGTCTGCATATGTTCCTGCAGTGGCAGAGAAGGGAGGTGCCGTGGTGATCCTGTGGCTCTCTCATGCGGCCCTTACTGAGCCTTCCAGAGATCTGCAATTTTTCTTCCGTGTACACAGCAGCACCTTCCCGGGCCCCTCCCTGAGGCCATCTCTTCCGGCAACTTGTCTGAGCCCCTCCTATAGCCTGGACCACCTCAGGATTCATCGGAAGCATATCTGCACTGGCCGCGCGTTAGAATCACCTGAGCGGCTTTTAAAATAATGCCTTTGCCCAGGCCTCATCCTGGTTCTCACTCCTGTGGCTGGGGAGGGTTCTGGACAGCAGGATTGTTTTTTTTTTTAAAAAGCTCCCTATGTTTAGCTGGTGTGCAGCCAGAGTGGAGAACCATTGACCTGGTCCAGGAGTTCCCGAAGGCAGGATTCTTTGAACAAGTCTCCTGGGTCCTGCACACTGTGTGTACCGAATACATGCATGGATGAGTGGTTGACTGCATGAGCCAGCGAGTAAAGGAGAGTTCCCAGGTTCCTGAAGATTGGAGAAAAAAAAACGTAGGCCTTCCCAGGCAATGAGACTAGAGGGACAGGCTGACAGAGGGTGGTCAGATGGAACTTCACACGGTGAAAGTCAGCATCAGCCTTCAGGTATCTGATGATCATACCTTTGAATCCTATAATAATAACAGGAACTAAAAGTGATTGGATATTTATTATGAGTCTTCATAATAAAGTACTTTCCATATTCATTCAGATCATCTTCATAGCCGTGCTTTGAGGCGAATACTTGCCATCAACCCCATGGAGGTTAACACAAGGCCCAAGAAAACTCAACCAGTAAGTGACAGACAGGACCACGTACATTATTTGCTGTGCAAAATAAAAATGACTATTTATTTTAAAAATTATTAAGAATTTCAAGATGGCGACCGCAGAGTATTAAGCCACCATGAGCCTAGGGTCCTGCATGATGGCATGGGTCTCGCACCTATGAAGCCCACCCTGGTGACACAGCTGGAATGCGGACCTTAGCAGTCTGGCTCTAGAGCTTGAGTCCGTAAGTGCAAAGCATTCCTTCCTTCCTAAACAGGACACTTCAAAACTCCGATTAGAGGCTTGACCTGATCTCTCCAGTTCATCTTCATCGGATTCCCGCCAGCCCCCATTTGACTGGCGGTTCTCTGCTGCCCTCTAGTGGGCAGTATCTGTATAGCCACACTTGCTTCAAGGATGGACCCCAGGGGCTGTAAGGGGGTTGAGACTCCCAGCCCTGTCCCCCACGGTGGTGGCTATGCCTGAGCTGCCACATGCAGGGGCAGCATTCAGACTGGTCTCTTGCAGCCTCCAGAGTCCTAAACGTGCAGGCGCAGCTTGCAAATGAGTTCCTACTTCAAACTGAGATTGTTTCCTGGCCCTGGTGATCTCCCCAGCCGCCAATGGAACGAATCCAATTCCGGGCACCTCAGAAGTGCTTGGAAAACTCTGCTCGAAAGCACTGTCTGCAAAGCCTCTGTTCTTTGCCTCTCACCTGGGCTGGTCAAAGATTCCTAACTAGCTTCCTTGCCCTTACTCTCCGTGCTATACACACCCTTTGCCTTCTGATTTTGCAGTTCCACTCAGTAAGAGTCCTCTTCACTGGCTTGGACAATAATACATGGCAGAAGCGATGCCATGCCTCAAGAGGCCTTGCACGTGTACACACTCCCTTGAGCCCAGGCCAGCCTGCCGGGAATGAGGCACCACACGGAGGGGGCCCATCCCAGGAGAGGCTATCCAAGATCAGTCGGCCTCCAGCTGACCCACAGCTGCAGACACTTGGGTGAGCCCCATGGGGATCAGCTGAGGCCGGCCAGCTCTGCGGAACTTCCCGGGTGGTCCACAGACCAATCAGCCAAATACATGGTGTTATTTTTAAGCTTTGGGCTGGTTTGTTTCACAGCAGTCACTTCCTGATACACTATGTGACACCCAAGTATGGTCACATCCACTCCACCCCACTCTAAAACCTTTTAATGGTTCCTCATTGCCCCCTGGAAAAAGTTCCATCTCCCTATCCCAGCTTGGGAGGGCCCTCATCTTCTAGATTTTACTTTCCTCTGCAGCCCTCCTATTTGGAAATTTCCACTGCAAATTTCTTCAGATCCTCGTGCTGCCTGCAGTCCTGCTGTGCATCAATGCTGCCCCTTTGGTATTCTCATGACCTGGATTTTTTTTTTTCCTGACTCAGTTCAGGTATCACCTGTTGCAGGGACATTCTATGATCCCCCCGGGTGGGGTTCCGTGCATGATTTTTCTGCCAGGTTTCGAGATGGCCTTGTCTCCCTCATCTCTGTAAACCCAACCATCTACTGAGGGCTGACCATGTGCCAGATACTTATCTGTATGACAAGTATCATACGGGACCGTGTGCCGATATTTATCTCGGTGGTTGCTGTCTTCTGTCCCCAAAGTCGCTGGTCCCCTGAAAATTCATTTCAACCAGTTATGGCAAGTTTGGTGAGAAGGGTAGGCTAGGAAAGGCTTTTTAGGGGTAACATCAGGAGGGACAGGTAAGAGTCGGCCAGTTTCAGAGAGATGGGGAAAGGCCCGGGAATGAGGCCCAGGGGTACAGGGTATCCTTGGGGACACATCTGCAGCTAGTATAGGGCGACCAGAACAGAGAGAGGGGATGAAGTGAGGAAAGATCGTCTGGATTTACTTTGAAGGCACTGGGGAGACACCAGTGGGCTACAAATAAGCATGCAGTAGGTGCTTAATATGTTTTCTGATCAGCACACCATCTGCCTCCTCCATCAGACTGAGAGCTGTCTCAGTGACTGGGTTATTCCTTCTCTGTACACTCCCGGTCCTTCCTGGCACGCGCTGGGACAGGGCAGGGTTCTCATTTATCAGTGAGTAAATGAATGAAAGACTAAATAAATCCACCCGAGATATAACAATACAAAACCAAGTGGATCTTTTCATCCAGACAAGAACTACTTTTCGCTCCCCTGCTTCAGGGAAGTGTGGGCAGACTCTGAGGAGGGTCCGGAGAACAAAGGCCGGTCCTCCTGGCTTCCTTCAGCCTCTGCTCTGCTGGAGGAGTGTGCGTTGGTGCCATCTGGTGGCCCTGGCGCCCATCTTCTATTTTAATCAGCTTCCTCTGTTGCTAAGGTGCGGTCAGGCCAGAGAAGGTGACCCGGAGCCTGGAATGGGCAGAAACCTTCTGTCAGCAGACTGACTTCCCCAGCTGCTCAGCCAGCCCCAGGTCTGCCTGGGGCGAGGACAAGACCTGAGCCCTGAGTCCAAGAGAATAATTGATGTCAGCCCATGCGACAGAGAAGCCCTTATCTATGACCACTCAGACAGACCCTTTCCATAAGGGCCCCCACTGTTCTCAGCAGATGACGGATTCCAGGTGTGAAGAAGCCACAGGAAGGGAGGCAATGGCCAGTGTTTCCCCAATACCCTTCTTGTCTTCTTCCTAAGAGAAAGCCTGGTTTTGTCCAGAGCAGCAATGTACCCAGTTACAATTCCAGCCCCCTGACAGCTGGAAATTGCCATGATACATGGATCTGGCCAATGAGATACAGGCAGACATCCAGGTAAGGTTCTAGGAGGCCCACTCCTCTTCCAAGTGAAGAGTCACAGACACAGCTGGTCTCTGCCTTTTGCCCTTTCTCTTTATTTCCCTTCCTCCTGCCTGAAAGCTGGGCAAGATGTCTGCAGGTGGACTTGCCTTTCTTTCCCCCTTCATGAGCATGAGTACCCCATGCTATGGATGGGGAAACAGAAAGCTACAAGTAGTCCAAATCCTTGATGACTTTTCTTAAGGGTCTCCAGGGTCACCCCAGGCTACTGGGCATGTCTGGGCAGAGAGAGACCCTCACTAAAGTGCTTCTCTGAGAGCAAAGACACTTCTCCCTTTCTTCCTGCTGAAGAACAGGTCTCTCCCTGACCCACTGCTTATTTGTCACAAAAGAGTGAGAAAAATCTCATTTGTTAAGGAACCATACTTAGATTCCTATTATACTTGTCATCCTAACACATAGAGGATATGGATAGGGAGCCCAGGTGGAATCTGAATCCAGCACAAAGAACCAGAGAGCACGGAGTAAGGTATGTTCAGAGAAAGGCAGCATAGGTGTTTTCTCTGGGAGACAGGAAATCTCTGTTCAAGGTGAACCCCCTTACTACAGTGACCTGGAGCAAGTCGTTTGCTTCCTAGCACATCGGAGGCATTTAAATGCATACATATTTAAATATGCTTGTGTGTCTATATACACATATAATGTGTGTATATAAATCACATGTGTGTGTATAGATTACAGATTGTTTGGAATGAAGAGACCGTTGGAACTAATCGATAGCCCATGCCCCTACCTGCTGAATCACATTACACCCATATGGCTGGGGCCCAGGGACGATGGCATACCGGGGTGACTAAGAACACAAGACTCCCCGGGCACCTAGGGGGCTCAGTCAGGTAAATGTCCGACTTCAGCTCAGGTCACGATCTCACGGTTTGTGGGTTCGAGCCCCACGTCAGGCTCTGTGCTGACAACTCAAGAGCCTGGAGTCTGCTCAGAATTCTGCATCTCCCTGTGTCTCTACCCCTCCCCTGCTTGCGCTCTGTCTCTGTCTCTCAAAATAAATAAACATTAAAAATTAAAACAACAACAACAACACAAGACTCCCTGGGTTCAAAACCCAGTTTCACCAACTGATAAGTTATTTCATTTCTTTATGTCTCAGTTTCCCCCATTTGTGAATGGGTATAATAATACTACCTCATTCAATTCAATGAGATGAAATTTGCAA